CCCGCGCGCCCCTACGCCGAGCGGGACCGCGGGGGTGCGCCCGGCTTCCTCACGCTGCACAACGCCTTCCCTAAGGAGGCGGGCGGCGGCGTCACGGTCACGGTCACCGGGCCGCCCGCCGCGCCCGCGCCCGCGCCGCCCGCGCCCGCCGCCCCCGCCCCCGGGACCCTGGCCAAGGAGGCCGCCGCCTCCAACACCAACACGCTCAACAGGAAAACCACGCCCGTGTAGGGGCGCGCGGGGAGCGGGGCGTGTCCGGGGCGCGTGCGCGGGCGCGCGTGCAACGAGGCGGCCGGGTCGGGGCGCCTCGCTCTTCCCCGAGAGCGCGCTGGAGACTGCGTGGCCTTCCCCCGGCGCCCCTCCCCGGCCCCGGGCGTCGGGGAGCCCCCTCATCCGCCAAAGGGACCCCAGGGGAGGGGTGAAGCGGGGAGGGGGCTCTGCTGAGGGAGCGTCGTGTTTTATTTTTTTTGTGGGATTTAGGGGGCGGGGGGAGGACCGTGGTGTTTTTTGCAGTTTTGAGATGTTTTCTTTTTAATGTTTTGCTGTGTGCATGTGGGGGCGGGGCGGGGGGAGGGGAGGGAGGGACTCCCAGCCCAGCCCAACTCCTGGAGAGGGGCCCATAGCACACGAGTTACACCTACATACTATATATAAGCTCTACGTAAAGGGAGAGGTCAAGAGAAGGGACTCGGAAAGGCAAGTGACTAGAGATGGACGCAGGTGTTCGTTCACTTTTCCATTCATCTTTCCACAAGGGCTTATTACGCACCTGCTGTGTGGCAGGTGCTGACACACAGGAAGGCACTGGGGAAGGGGCATAAAGGCAGGCGCAGAGAGTTACTCGTTCATTCATTACTGGCAATGTGTGTGCTTAACTGCCAGGCATTGTGCTGAATGCTGAGCATACAGAGGGAGGAAAACAGACAGGGTCCCAGGTCCGGGACATCTTCAGAGTTGCATCTTGCACATGAGACAGACATTAATCCGAGAATTATGTACACATACAAGAGATTACAGTTAGGATGTAGGAGAAACCCGAGATCCTCCAAAATGCTCTGTGAGGGAGGGGGCTAACCCAGTTTAAGTTTTAGTAGACACTGAAAGGATGACAAGGAGACAGCCCAGTGGAGCTGGGGCCATGTGTCCCAGGAAGAGAACAGCATATGCCAAGGCCCTAGGGCAGAAAGGAGCTTGCACAGTATGCTGAAGTGTAGTGAGCCAGGTGGACAGAGGAGCCTGGAGACAGGACCAGATTGTGCAGGGACTTGTAGGTTGGGTTTTATTCTTAGGGGGCTGTGGATGGCTTTAAGCAGGAGCACAGCATGAATGGTGCATAAAGGAAAGGCAGGAGCCTAGCCGAGTATGGAGCAGAGGCAACTAAAATACTGCATCACACAGTCACTGGTCCTCCAGGCTTGCACTGGTGGCAGAGAGCACGCAGTCACACATGCTGCAGCACAGGCATGGTGTCGTGTGCAGGAGAATGAGACAGCAATCCAGGTTTCACTATTTTCTCCAGCCGCTGGCATTCGGGTGCATGTGCTCTGGTCCCGGGCAGGAAGTTAGGGACCCCAGAGGTGCAAAAACCCCCTCACTCTTCCCCAGGAGCTGAGCACTGTCAGGACGCACAACCCAGGCAGGGAAGTGGGCGTGGTGACTGGGACCACGATGGGCCCCATGGAATACGGAGGACAGGATGGCCAGGTGTGGGCAGGGAAGACTCCCTGGAATGTGATGCCCAGTCTGGGTCTTCAAAGAAGCACGTGTCTCCTAGGTGATGAAGGGGACAAGGAAGTCTTTCTGGGCAAGAACAGTTGGGGCAGAAACCCAGGGAAGAGGAGCAGCATGATGTTTTGGGAAAGTGCTGACACCTCTGGGATGCTGAAATCCAGGGTGGAGGAAGAGGTCAGGCAGGGAAGTATCTCTAAGCCAGGGTCTAACAGTGCCTGAGTCACAGACCAGCCGGAGGCTTCCTAAGGGCAGTGGAGAGGATGACAGTTGAGGGGGATAAAGGAAGTGGGTGTGCCGAGGAAGGGATGGAGTTGAAGGTCACCGAGAAGGCAGGGTGCTTCATTTCCCTTCATTTGCTCAGCAAGTATTTCTGTGATGCTGGGTGCAGGGGACTTCCCATCCCGTCCTGTGCTCCGGGGGCTCCCAGTCTGGTGGGGAGAGAGACAGGGCTCAGCTGCACAAGGCAGGACCTGGTTAGTGAGGTACCATGAGGTCAGGGTTACCTTGGGAATAGGAGACATCAGAAGGGGGACCGATGAGGGAGGGGATCAGAGTGGGCATTAGAAATTTGCTTTGGGGCCTGTGTGGAAGGGTTAGAAATGGGGGGAGGGGAGGCTGGAGTGGGCGAGCCTGGGAGGAATTCTGTGGTGGTGGTTTCAGGAAGGAGATGCTGGAAAATGTAGAGAGGATACGAGTCAGTCAGACTAGATAGGACTTAGTCTGATGCATGGAGAGAAGAGGGACAGGGAGGTGAGAGAAGAGGGGCGGGGAGGTGAGAAGAGGTCCAGGGAGAGGTGCATTCAAGGGGACGACTGATGGGGAGGACAGAACTGGCTAGGGCATGATGGATTCTGCAATCCAAAGGCCAAACAGCAAGAAAGGTGGAGGGTGGGCTGCAGGAAAAGTGAGATGGGGGGACCGCAGGAAGAGTGAGATGGGGGGGGGTGCAGAAGAGACCCCAAACAGGTGAGTCCTAGAGATGGGAAAGGCGAAGACTTAGGAGATTCCGAGAGGGAGAAACTGAAAACAAAGATGCGCGAGCCTTCACAGTATTGGAGAATTGCCAAGCGCTGACCTGTTCAAGGCTCAGTCTAGGCCCACAGGGTATGGTGGTGAGCTGACAAGGGCCTGCTCTCCCTGGGCTCCCAGGAGGCACGTGCAATACACACTGAAGAGTGCTTCAGAAGTGAAGCAGGATGACAGATCAGGGCAACTAGATAAGCTGCATCAAGAGGTCCTGACTGCCAAGTAATGTTTGAACAGAAATGTGCATTCTGAGAGGGCAGGGGAGGAGAGAAGGGCTTGGGACAGGAACCCTGGCCACCAAAGGTGGCAGAAGAAGCCTGAGTAAAACCAGACTTCCAAGGAGGCCTTTGTGAGCAGAATAAACAAGGGCTAGTTGACTGGGTGAGAAGTCCAAAGTGCAGAGGGCAGCTCGGGCCTTGTAGCCTGGGAAGGAATTTGAACTTTATTCTGGATTTGATGAGAAGCCTTGGGGAGCTCTGAGCACAGGCATGCTGGGATCATATTTTTGTTTAAACAAAACAATAGCAGAATTGTGCTGTTGTGCTGGGAATAGACTTGGGGGTCAAAAGCAGAAGCAGGGGTTGGGATTTTTGGAGGTGATGCCTACAGTGGTGGCAAGCTGGCTGTTCAGGGAGGTAATGAAGCCCAGGGAAGGGGAGAGAGGATTCTCCGGGTGGGCGCTGTGGCCAGGAAGGGGGAGGCAGGGTTTGGTGGTAGGAATCCAGGGTTGTCGTAGGGATGTGTCAGGTGGGGGTGCCTTTGGGAAGTAAGTCCAAGTCCGAGTATGGAGCAACCAGTTGGAGACATCAGACAGAGTGGTTAAAAGGTCGTGGCTGGAAATACAAGTCTTGGAAACGTCAGCAGATGAAGGCATGGAAAGCCACAGAATGGGATGGTAACTTAGCAGCTGTGTGCAGGTAGAGTGACCCTGGCAAGAGTCTTGGGGGGACATCTACACTGGGGGAGAAGAGCAGGTAGCAAAGGGAGCCAAGAAGGAGTGACCAGAGGCTGGCAGGAAGCAGGAGAGTCCTTGAGGGCCTAAGCACAAGCATTTCAAGAGGAGGAGGAGGGGGCTGGGGTTTGGCTCCGTGGTGGAGCGCTTGCCTGGTATATGGAAGGCTCTGGGTTTGGTTCTCAGCACTGCAAATAAATACATAAAATAAAGGTCCATCTACAACTAAAAAACACACATATGTATATGGAGGAGGAGGGGCCAGCTGTGGGGAAGCTGCTGCGGAATCGGAGAAGATCTGGGAGCAAGTGACCAGTAGGTTTGCTGAATGATCCTGGCTGATGATCTGGACAGAGCTCACTTCAGCTCAGGGGCAGGGACAGAAGCCCTTACTGGGGAAGAGGGAAAGGGAATAGAGGCAATTAAAATGACCCAGACAAGGAGAGGAAGACGGGAAAAGGCACCCTGAATACAGAGAGCTATTACAGCAGGCAGGAGTGAGAACGATGGGGTGACCCCGGCCAGCGGGAGAGTTCAGGGGTGGTGAATAGAGTCCGGAGGACCCCAGCCAGGCCTCTTCTGTCCTTTGCTGCTGCTCATGCAGGCTCCGGGACTCTCCGGAGCCTGAGAAGACCCAGCAAGGCAAAGGGGAAGAAGAGGTTTCCTTTATTTTCTGAAACGAAAGTTCATTCAGACTCCCCACTGCCAGAACCTGTGATCAAAGAGCTGTGTGTGCCCCTGAGGGAGAAAGGCAGCACAATACAGAGGGAGGTGTGCTCTGCTGGGGGAAGCAGGTACCTTCCCAGCTCCGCGGGGGTGTCGGGGAGGCCCGAGGCCGGTGCTTCCTCCTGGCAGTTCACTGGCCAGTCCTCAGCTCACTTGTTCATTCACATCACCTACCACACCTTATAAGGCTGCCTGTGTACCTGGCCATGAGCTGGGTGGTGCAGAGGTTGCCCCTGACCCCTGACCCAGTCTGGTGGGAGAGCCAGACACCTAAGCAGACAGTCGCATCCCAGGGCACTGGGGGCTCCAAGGGAAGAGTACAGAGCAGGGGCAGGCAGGGAGGGGTGCCCCAGAGCCACGGTCAGCTGGCATCGGGCCTACCTGGAGCAGCATCCTGGGTGGAGGTTGATGGCAGGTGGGTCCCCCCTGGGCAGTCTGCAGAAGGGCTGAGGGAGGGGGTGAGGGGTGATGACCAGGCCCTGCTGCCATGCCACCCAGCTGTCCCTGCCCCTGCTCCTGGGGGAGCTGAAACTGCATGGAAGGTCCCCCAGGGGTGCCCTGAAAATAAATTCATGAAGAGGACGGCTGCCGTGGTTCACGTGTCCCCAAGCCTGGCCCTTCCCTCACCCTTTTATCTCCTGGGATCTGAGGGCCAAACCCCCAGAATCCATCCATCCTTATAAGACCCTGGGTTCTGGCCCATCTCCCCCAGGCCCAGGGTCCAGGCCCCAGTCCCCCTCCCCCAGTCCTCCCTCAGACCCAGGGTCCAGGCGCAGCCTCCTCCCTCAGACCCAGGGTCCAGGCCCAGCCTCCTCCCTCAGACCCAGGGTCCAGGCCCAGCCTCCTCCCTCGGACCCAGGGTCCAGGCCCAGTGCCTACCCCCTCAGCCCCTTCTGTCCTAGTGACACAGCACTCCAGCTTCCCAGCCCTGCCTGCTCTGGACAGAAACCCGTTGTTCCGCTGTCCCGTCCTGTCCGCCCATGTGGGAGGCTGTAGTTGGGACTTTCAGCCCCGCCCTTGACCCTTCAGGAAATCGAACTCTGGGCTTCAGCGGCTGTAAGACCAGTCCCGGCCCCTCCTCTCCCCCACCCCGCCCGGGTTGTCCCCTTAAAATACCCGGGATCCCTATGGCAACAGGCGCCGGCGACAGGTGCGGGTGTTATTTACGGGTCGAGCCCGAAATAGCCGGGAGGGCGAGGGGATGGGCGGGCGGGGCGAGGCCGGCGGACGGACGAGCGGGCGGAGGCCGAGCGGGCGGAGGCCGAGCAGAGCCGACGGGGCGAGGCATTGCGGAGCTGGGGTCGGCGCGGCGCCGAGGCAGGAGAGCGAGCGGGGCCCCTGCCCAGGAGGCCGGGGTGGGAGGCCCGAGGGGGGCGCGAGGCCTGGAGCTGAGCCAAGAGCCCTCGCAGCCGCCGGGCAGGCCCTGGGAGCCCGGGGGAGGGGGAGCAGAGTGATCCCCAAGGGACTGAGTCCCTTCCGGGTCCCAAGAGTCCTGTGGAGTCCAGATCCCTTGCCCCTGCTTTCTGAGCCTCAGTGAGGACCACAGCTCCGCAAGCTGAACCCAGCGGGGATTCGCGGTTCCCCTCTGAGCAGCGGGGTACCCCAGACTCCTTTATGGACGCCCAGCCACGGTCCCTTCTGGACCTCAGCAGGGAGTTTCCGGCTTCTTGGATCTCTTTGGAGCAACTAGGGAGACTCCCTTTCCCTTTTGCTGAATTCCAGGGGACCCCCAGAATTCCTCTGAATCCTGCTGATCTGCTGTGAATGCTGGGGCTCCCTGGCTTCTCTGAGACCCAGACCTAGCTCTTCCCCTTCTGTTCCCCAGAGGGTCCCCAAGTCCTCCCTCCTCAAACTCTGAGCCCAGAGGATCCGGGGCCACATCTCTCAAACACACAGCAGGGCTCAGCTCCCTTTTCTGGGCACCCCAGACTCGGAGCCCTAGTGGAGACCCCAGAGGAGTGCCTCTGAGCTGGGGTGGGTGCTCGGTTCTCCTGCCACTGCACCCCCAGGCGCCCCCTGGTGAGGTGAGCCTCAGGGCACCTGCCTTCTCTGGGCCTGGTTCTCTTTGCTGAGTTCGTGAGCAGCCCCGGCTCCTCCTGGGAGGCTTCCCCTCCTGGGGTCTAGGTTTCTCAACTTCCGAGCCCGGAGGACACCTGACTCCACCATTTGAGGTTCAGCTCTTCCTCTCTCATATCCAGCACCCACTGAGCCCCGGCTCCCTTCAAGGTCCCAGGCTGTGCCAGGCCCCTCCTCCCGCCCCTCAGGACCCCTCCTCAGCTCTGCCTGCTCGGACCTTCCTGAGCCCCATCTGCAGCCAGGATGATGATGTGGTCCAACTTCTTCATGCAAGAGGAGGACCGGCGGCGGGCCGCTGCAGGCCGGCGGCGTGCCCAGGGGCAGAAGGGAGTCCTCCTGACGCCAGAGCAAGAGGGGAAGATTAAGCTGGTGCTGCTGGTGGTCTCCATAGGTGCCACACTGGCCGTGCTGGCCGTGGGCACAGAGTTCTGGGTGGAGCTCAACACCTACAAGGCCAACAGCAGTGCCGTCTGTGACGCCGCCCACCTGGGACTGTGGAAGGTGTGCACCAAGCGACTGTGGCTGGCGGACGTGCCCGAGGGCCGTGAGACCTGTGGCCCTGCCGAGCTGCCTGGAGGTGAGAGGCCATGCCCTGACCCAGGTAGAGAGACTGAGAAAGCCACGCCCCAGAAAGAACCTGGGCCCCCAGGAGAGAGCTTGCACCCCAGAAAGACCTGTGCACAGATCTGCCTGGGCTCTCAGAGACAGACGAGGGCACTCAGACCTGGCCCATGTTCCTAACTGGCTTGTCCCCAGGGGACCTGTGCTTCAGAGCTTGTCTTCCGGCCTGTACCCCATCACCAGCCTGTGCCCCCACACCCAGCTGGTGCCTTCAGAGAGCCTGAGCACATCTGACAGCACATCCCCACCCACGCCCCCGAGATGCCTGCACCCCTGTGCATGTGCCCACAGAGAGCCTGCGTCCCAGACAGTCCTCCCCCTGGAGACAGACGGACTCCCTGGCTGTGAGCTCTGGGCAGACAGACCGCCCTGCTGCCCACCCCAGTGTAGAATCTGTGCAGGTTCACTCCCTGTGAATTTGCCAAATGAAGCTCTTGCCCGTCACCTGCCAACGTCCGGGGCGGGCCTTGTGCTCTGGCACCGTTCATTCCTGCCCCTCTCCCCTCCGGAGGCCTGACTGCAGCTCCGGCCCTTCTCACTTTCTCTGCAGACTCTCCACGCCCCTCGCCTCCCCTGCAGTAGTTCTTTCGTTGCGGCTGTGCCAGAGGGCTGTCCCTTAGCTCTCACTGACGGCACATGCCATGCCCTTTACCTGTCCCAGCAGGCCTTCTTCATGAGAACTGGGCAGGAGCGCACTGCTCTACCCACCCAAAGAAAACATCTTAGGCATCTCCCCTCTGGCCATTCGGGATGCCACCTGTGAGATTGCCCATGTGGGGTATCCAGCAATGCCAGCCACACAACGCCCCACAATTGCAGCATCCCTCAGAAAGGATCCTGCCCTTCTGGGCTCCAGATGGGGTTTCTGTCCTGTGTTACTTCTCCAGGTGGATTTATCCATAGGGTCCAAATAAGGGTGTCCTAAGCCTTTCCTAGCCAGTGGGCACCAGGCATCCTCTGCTGTCCCGAAGACTATCTTAGTCACTTCACTTCTGTAGATGAGCTGTCACCCCTCAGGGTCTTGAGCAGGATGATCTCAAGCTTCCGCAAAGCGGGATTCCCCAGTAATAAAAACATGAGATGAGTACGTAGTTCCTGGCTCTGTTCTAAGGAGTTGCTGTGCATGGATTCATCACCTGTCCTGCCAGCCCCGTGAGTGGTTATCATCAGGTCCGTTCCACCGAGGGCAACGAGGAGGCGCGAGGGACCTCAGTGGCTCAGCCTGTGAACCAGGCGAGTTATGTGGGGTTTGAATCTTGGCTATCCCTGCTCCCACCTCACTCGTCCATAAGGAGCTTCCATGGCTCCTCACTATGCCAGAGGGGTGTCCTGACCTCACTAAAAAGAAGATGGGGCTCCTCACATCTCTTGCTGTCCCCTCTGCTGGCCAGGAGGGCTTGCCCTCCTTATAGGGCTCTGACTGTCACCCGTGCAGGACCTCTCAGAGTCTCCTTATGTCTGAGAAATGGAATGACTCATGTCCCTTGGCAGTGACAGCTGCCTCACACCCGTGGCTTTTCAGATGGGATTTGCCATATCCTCTGGGGGTCAAGAAGCCAGAAGTCCTGAGTCATTCATAGCCAGAGTGGGACACGCCACAGCCCACACTGCCCCAGCAGGACCTTCACCCTTCCCTAGGGATGTAGGCTTCTCCACCCGCTGCACCCCACCCTGTGGCAGGAAGCACCGTACCCTTGCTGCTGCAGGATCAGGATTCGCACCTGTCACTACTCCTTGCTGGACACTGCATGTCCCTCCCCTCCCCCGGTGCTCCAGGGGGTGCCCACTCTAGCTCACCGGACTCAGGGGTGTCTCTCGTCCCTCCATATCCTCTTCAGTAGGAAAGTCCCGTTTCCACTTCCGCAGGCCGCATGGTCCCCCTGGGGGTCCTTTACTCCTGTGGGTCTCACGCCTCCCCCTCCCTAGCCTCAGTTTCCCCACCTGTAGAACAAGAGCCTTCTGACTGGGAGAACCCTGAGGGGAGATCTGCCTCTAAAACGCAGTTCAGAAAGTTCTTTTCCTTTGTTAAAGTTTCTCGGACACAAAATACACAACATCAAACGAATCCCACTCCCAGGTTCGGGTCCTCAGATCATGACCCGCCCGGAAGATCCTTCCTGTGCTGTGTTTAATAACCTGGTTCTTTTTCATTCCTTCCTGACTCAGCTCTTTCAGGTGTTTGACAACGCATTCGACCTGGAGAGCAGAGTCAGTTTCTACCCACCTGTGTGTGTTGACTTGCATAAATGATGTCAGGCTGTAGATTTTATCCTGCTCTTTAACCAGCTAATTCGACTTTTCTTGCTCAACACCCTCTCTCAAGTCTTCCCGCCTTTGTTATCGTAGTTCGGGGCTACTGCGTTCTGCAGAGCTTTCCACAGGGAGGGTCCCCTCGTGTATATGCCTGTCCTTGAGAGAGGGACACCTGGGTCATTCCTGTGCTGTTATTTATAAATGATGCTGCAGTGAACACCCACACCTGTGTCCCCTGTATGTGCTTTTTCCTGGGTGCAGACCCAGAAATGAAACAGCCAGGTCCCAGGGTATCAACATCGCTCATGTGTCACGCCGCGGTGGGGACATGTTCTGAGCAATGCATCCTTAATGGATTTTGTTGTTGTGAGATCATTGCAGAGTGTGCTCACTCAGGCTCAGAGGACTGCGACCTTGCTGGGTGAGGTCATCTTAAGGACCTCCGTCCTACAGGGGCCCATTCTCCACTGATGGCCATCATGGAGCGCAGGACTGTGACACGCTCCATAAAGCGTGTCTGAGTCCTTCCCCCACAGCCCAGGACAGCCTCACTGCCGGTTGTTTCCGCTTGCTGCCTCCCTTTTAATATTCGCCCGTCTAATTGATCCAAAGTGGCCCCTCCCTGCTGGCTCAAGTGCGTTTCTCTGGCTCCTGCTGGAGCGGAGCTCTTCCTGTGCCGTGGGTTCTCCAGGCTCCTCTGCTGCGGGTGACCAGGCGGGGCTTGTGCCCTGTGCAGGGGGGCGCCTCGGACAGCAGCCTGCAGGGGCTCTTTGGATTCAGGTGGGAGGGAGCGTCCCCTCTTCTGTTAGCCTCCCATGACCTGCTTCTTGGTGGCCTTTGTTGAGTAAAGTGGCTGTCCCTCTCTAATCCCACTTGACCCTCAACAAACCTGCAGGAAGGAGCCAGGAAAGAGATTATCACCTCCTGTTAAAGAGGAAGCACCGGACGCCCAGAGACAGTTAATGGCCCACTTGAGGCCATGGATCTAGTCCTCTGCAGGGGCGGGAATCCCCGGGCATCCTGGGCTGCCAAGAGGCGTTTCCCTCTCCTCTGCACCAGGGATGCTAAGGTCCTCTTTTAAGGCCCCTCTGAGCTCTGTTAAGGGTCCACCCTGGAAACACACACAGCGCCTCACGTCATCTCCCTCCCCCTTCTCTCTCCTGCTCTCACAGAAGCAAACTGCACCTACTTTAAATTCTTCACCACGGGGGAGAACGCCCGCATCTTCCAGAGAACCACAAAGAAAGGTGAGCAGGTTTCACGCTGTGACGAGGGGCTGGGTGCTGGCCATGCTCAGGGACGGCTGGTGGCACCGCTCCTCCGCCACTCTGCCCGGGATGATGGGCTCAGCTCTGGGGTCCGTGGACGTCCTGTCTCTGGGAACTGGTGGTGCAGATTCTCCAGACCCTGGGCCTGATGCTGTGACCCCTCACCTTGCCCAAGCCACAGGCCACGTGACTGGGCAGTCCCTCTCTGAGGATAGCACTCTAGCATCTCATGAATGGGCGCTTGGGATCGGTAAGCCCCACCCTGGGCATTATGCCCGGATGATCTCCAGTCCTTGGCCTGACTGCAGGACACAAGCGTTGTCTTCCTCCTCCAGAGGAGATAACAAGCCCAGAGAAGGTAGAAGCAGTCCGCCCAGGAAGTGGCAGAGGCAGGATTCGAACCCAAACAAAATCTTACCGTAGAAGGGCACTGCCCAGAATCCCCTGTGGAGATGAAAATGCTCTACTTTGGGACCCATCCTGCACACTTGGCATGTGGCTGCTGTCACAGGGGAGATGAGTGTTGAATTTTGTTTCATTTGTCACATTAAAAGTAAAAGCCCACGTGTGGTTAGCAGCTGCCACCACACTGGACCATGCACCTCTGAGGACTTTGTCCTTTCTGCTCTGAGCACGGCTTCTCCATCACGGGGTGTCCCCACCAGCACAGGAATTGGGATCGTGACATGAATCTGGCTTCTATAAGGATTTCATGAGACAAGGCTTCTAGAGGCTTCCAGAGCCCAGGGCTTGCAGTGACCCCTCACTACCTGCAAGCAGTGGTTCCTGGCCTGCTCCACCTGTTCTGTCTCACCTCCGTGCTGGGTGAGCACAGTGGGGTCACCGTGTACTTCTGGGACGGTGACATCATCCTGGTGCTCACCTGTGGCCCACCTGTGTGTGCCAAGCACACGGCCCACCCAAGTAGGGTTCTGGACCATTCCCCTGTAATGTACAAATGATGACCAGATGATAGTAATGATCAGTTGCTCACATCTCCTTCTAAAACGCAGGCTTTGTGCCTTCTGCTCTGTGGCCTTAAGCAAGTGACTGACCCTCTCTGAGTCTTAGTTTCTTCTACAGGATTGTTATTGGACTGGACTGGGCAACCGACTTGACAACTTTTCTACAGTCCTGAATCATCCATCTTCCTGATCCTGGGCCCCTGTAAAGGAAACCTCTTGTTCTCTCTCTGTGATCTCTGCTTCTCCCCTCTCCCCTTGCAGAGGTGAACATAGCTGCTGCGGTGATAGCCGTGCTGGGCCTGGTGGTCATGGCCTTGGGCTGTCTCTGTGTCATCATGGTGCTCAGTAAAGGTGCCGAGTTCCTGCTCCGAGTTGGAGCTGTCTGCTTTGTCCTCTCAGGTGAGGGCGGAGAGCCTGGGCTGAGGGCATTGCATGCTGGGAGGGGGATCCCCAAGAATTGTTGCAAGCTGGGAGGCGGGATCTGTACACACAATTGCATGCCGGGAGGTGGGATCTCCATGCACTGCTGCATGCTGGGATTTGAGGGGAGCCCAAGGGCTATCATAGGCTCAAAGATGGAGGAATTCCAAGCCCTTTTGTTGGCTGAGAATTGGACAGTCTACAAATACCATTTTGATCTGGACGTGAGGTCTCCAAGGATTGTTGCATGCTTAGGGGTGGGAACCCCAAGCACTGCCGCATGCCAGGAGCAGGAGGGAGCCCCGGGGCCCTAGAAGTCTCAGCCACAGGACAGCTCCGAGCCTGTTGCTAGCTTGGACTACTCCCCAAATACCTTTTTAGGTTTGGACCTGGAATCCCCAGCAATGTTGTATCCTGGGGTGGGGAGGTCTGCAGTCAGTGCTGTGTGCTCTGATGTTGGGAAACCCAAGGGCTGTATCAGGCTCAAAGGTGGCAGAGTTCAAGCCTGGTGGTTGGCTGGGATTTAGAGGGTCTCCACACAGGCCTTGAGATTTGGACCTGGGGCCTGGAGTCTGCAAGGACTCTTGCATTTTTGGAGTTGAAGGTCCAGAAAAAAATAACTGCATCATAGGAAATGTGGCCCTTGACAGTAACAAAGACTTCAGTTTATTGTACATCTAGCTCAGAATACCACAGGCCTGCTACTGTGTTTAAGTGCATAACCATCACCTCTGCATTAACCTATGTTCGTGAGCATCCTGTGCATCCCAAACTTATACAAAGACAGCTAGCTTAGAATAAAGTTACTTTTAAGTAATGCCAGCACTGTTTTTACAAAAAGAAAAGCTTCACATGATGGTTGCACCAGACTTTTTTGCAAAAAAAAAAATTAATAATAATAATAATAATAATAATAATTGGCATAAAATCCATGACAATTATGTGGACGAATTCGGTAGTAGGGATCACTGTTCTTCATTCTGTAGTTGAGAACACTGAAGCTCAGAAGAGGCAGATGAGTCATTCAGACTCACACAGTGAGGACAGAGGTGGGCTTGAGCCTGGGCCGCATTCTCCAAGCTCGCCTCTCTGGCTGCACGCACTTGGCACCTCGGGGAGTGCTTTCCTGAGGTGTCTCTGTGGGCTCAGCACGGTATGGGGGGACGAAGGCATAGCCGGGGAGTCAGTGGTCTAGCTTTTGTCTTAGTCTGGGTCCTGAATCAGTATACGACCCTGGGAAAGTTCCATTCCTCTTCTGGGCCTTAGTTGCCTTGTTGAATCAAATTTTTCTCAGGTGGAAAGAAAAATCATTCATTACACTTCATTTCTTTGAGTGTTTATGAGCATCTACTATGATCCAGGCATGGTAGGGGCTAGAGATAGATACAAGACTACTCTGCTATCAAAGGGCCTCAATTTGGGCAGAAAAAAGAGTATAACTAATAATTACATAAGTCATGATTCAACTGAATTGGTGATGAGAGTTACCATAAAGCTTATTAAGGGGACGTTCTGTGGTGGTGGTATGTGGCAGAATAGATAATCTAGAAAGCAATAGTTGAGCTGATAATTGAAGGATAATAGGAATTATCCAAGGTACAGTGGTGACAGTTGTAATGGCAACAGGTGATGGTGATGGTGTTGGTGGTGATGGTGATGGTGGTGGTGATTGATGGTAGTGGTGGTGGTGGTGGTAATGGTGGTGGTGGTGGTAATGGTGATGGTGTTGGTGGTGATGGTGATGGTGGTGATGGTGGTGATGGTGATGGTGGTGATGGTGATAGTAGGGGTGGTGGTGGTGTTATGTTCTGGTAACAGCGATGGTATGGTGGTGGTTATGGTGGCAGTTGTGATGGTGGTGGTAGGGATTATGATGGTGGTAATGTTAGTGGTGGTGGTGGTGGTGGTGGTGATGGTAGTTGTCAACGTGATGGTGAAATAAAATGGGCAAAGGCTATAAAGCATTAGGGAAGTTTGCAGAACAGAATGAAGATCAGAGTATAAAGCAAGGCAAGTCTTGCAAAAGTGCACACAGTAGCGTCTATGAACACGTGAGGCAGAGGCCTGGAAGGCGTGCGGGTGTTCAAGAGCCACACAAATGGAGAAGAGTATTGCCGTGTCTTATTCGTCGCCTTAGAGATCTCCCTAGGTAGAGGGGGAAGTTCAGTCATTCCCTTTCCTTTCTTTCATCTATTTGCTAGTTCATCTAATTCACTGTGATACAATGAATAAATGCATAGCTACACGTCCACACACATACGTGATACATACGTCGCACATGCATGAACACAGCAGATGTCTGGAGGCAGTACCCTAACAGTGCAGAACGGTGCCTGTTGCCATGCTGACGGGTCTGACTACTCAGACAGGAGCCGCACAAGCAACCCCACAGTTAGAAGCCATAGTGGGTGACATGAAGGACAAGGAGCGTCCCCGCGGGAGTGAGCAATAAGAGCACCTGATTCCATACGGGGAGTTGGGCAGCCTGTCCGAGGCAGTGACCTCAACGATGTCACATCATAGTTAAGCAAGGAGAAGAGAGCTTGGTGAACTTGAGGTCCTGAGAGGGCCACTGTGACCCGGCCTTGGAGAGGGGTGTGCTGGGACGGGACGGCGGGGAATCAGCAGGGAAAGAGCGTGTCTGGATTGGAGATTGGCTTGTGATCTGGGCAAACTCTTCCCATCCCTGACTTAAGTCTCCTCACATCCAGAAGTCCCTTGCTTTATTCAGATTTTCACACCCGCGACTAAAAGACCCGACCAGAACGACCGCAGAGGTCTCCCGGTTGCAGGGGTCTCAGTCCCTAGAAGGCCAGCTCCCTTCGTCGGGGCTCGAGGTGAGGCAGGGCGTCATGGTGGAGGAGAGTGGCCGAGGGAAGCCCCGCACGTCAGGGTGACCAGGAGGCAGAGACGCCCCTCTCCAGACACAAACATCTACCCCAAAGGCAGGACCCCGAAGGCCACCTCCTCTAGCCCCACCCTTGGCCTCCAGTCACCACTCTGCTAACCCCGAGGGGGTGAATTCACTGAGTGGGTTGGGGCTCCCACGAGCCAATCATTTCTCCTCTAATCCTTGCATTGTGTCACCCGTGAGCTTCTGGGGGACACCTCGCATCAACCCTGACCTTCCAAGGGTCCACCCATCAGGTGTTCACCCTTCCTTCCTCCCACGGAGCCTTCCAGGGATCCGTCACTCCTCCCTCCCCCCACTGTCCGCCCTCTGGGCCATCAGCCGTGTCTTTGCTGGGTGCCCTGCTCAGCCCCACCCCAGGGAACGTGAGTCAGAGGACACCTTACCGAGGACTGCACAGCTCGCAGGGGCAGGTGCCGGGGCGCTCACACCTGCCTTCTCCCCAAGGGCTCCTCAGAGTGTTTTATTCATGTTGGGCGTGTCCTGCGGGTTGTGCAGCCAGGCGGAGGCCAGGTGGCCCTGACACCAGGCGAGGTGGCCCTGACACTGTGTGGTTGTGCTGGGTGTCGGGATGGGGGGGGCGGTCTCTGTAGACAAAGAGACAGGCACAGCCGATAGCATGTCTTTTCCTAAATGTCTGTGTCAGTGTCCTTCGGGGATTCGGGGCTGTGACAGGTGGGCGTGTGTCCTCAGGGTTTAGTCCTGGGGTGAGATGGCACTAGGACAGTCTCATGTGGATCCATTGTTGTTAATCACCAGCCGTGAGGAGCTGCCACGGAGGAGAAGTAGAGTGTGAGGAAAACATGTCGTGCCTCCACAGGGCCTCTGCTGGGCCTCCACTGGGCCTCCGCTGGGCCTCCACAGGGCCTCCGCTGGGCCTCCGCTGGGCCTCCACAGGGCCTCCGCTGGGCCTCCTCTGGGCCTCCACAGGGCCTCCGCTGGGCCTCCACCCTGCCTGTGGCCGGCTGCCCACGCCTCCGTCTCTGAGGAGGAAGACCCAGTCATACTGGATTGCAGTCCTTTCTGACGGCCTTACTTAACCATTTCCAGATGTGGCCATGTTCTGGGGACTCGGGGTTGGGACCTCAACATGTGACCTTTAGCTGACCGTTCATCACTGGATGAAGCTCCGGGGGGACGGGGACTTGGCTGGTCTCATCTGTGTGTCAAGCCCTTGTTACCCACGACCCCACTGAGGGCTGCTGAATGAGGCGGGTCAGCCCAGGGGGGGGGCTGCGCGGGCTCCAGGCTGCGTGCCCAGGCCCCAGGTTTAAAAGATGGAGGAGTCGGGGTGGAGAAGGGAAGCAGTGGCCTCCGGCCCCGGGGGTGCTGTCTAGCGGTTCACAAGACTCTGCAGCCCATTTGCCACCTCGGCCCCCCGCACCCTGTCCCGTCCACAGTGACCGCCCTTTCTTTCCCTCAAGTGTGCGGCGCTCCCTCCTGCCCCAGGGCCTTGGTGCCGGCTGCTCCCTCTGCTTGGAGCAGCGTTGCTCAGTCTTCTGTGTGGCCTGCTCCTTTTCGTCCCTGGGCTCAAGCGGCTCTTGGTGACGCCACCATCGGGAGCGCCCGCCCACCCTGGCCGTGGCCCCTGGTGTGAAGTTCTCCCCGCCGGGCGTCACCTTCTGAACTACCTGCTCTCCTACGTTCCCTGGGGAGGCCGCGCCCTGGCAGCCTGCAGCTGGAGACGTGCAGGACACGAGGCCCGTCAGGCAGGACGACTCCAGATGACCCTGAAACAGAGCTTCAGATGTGACAGGACCCTGGAGCCAACTGTGGCTTCCTACAGGTCCACGGGGGCCGGGGTCGCAGCTTGGTCCCCTCACGGCTCCGCCCCCCCCCCCCCCCCCCCGTGCCTCTGTGCGTCTGTGCTTTCTCATGGCTCCTGGGGACACTCGTGTCTGCAGGCCTCAGTGCCTTGGCTTAGCATCTGTCCCCTCCGGGAGGGGATGGTGGCTCCGGGGCAGAGAGCCGACACTGCCTCCGACTTGTGTTCTGCTGTTTCTTAACTGTGCGGGCCTCGGCCTGTTTCCTTCTTCTCTTTAGTGATTCACTGTCACTCTTCAGAAAGAGCCTTCACGAGTCTTTTGGGGGCGGGGCGCGTAACAAGGGATTGAACTCAGGGCCCTCAACCCCTGAGCCACGTCCCCTTTTTCAAAATGTACTTTATTTAGAGTCAGAGTCTCGCTGAGTTGCCGAGGCTGGCTTTGAACTTTCCATCCTCCTTCCTCAGCCTCCTGAGCTGCTGGGGTTACAGGTGTGTGCCATTGTGCCCGAGTCTTGGAGTCTTAATTTGAACTTTGTGTTTCTTGATTCCTGTGTTTACTTTTTGATCACAATCACAGGGCGATGCACCCAAGATGCCACTTGCCCTCTTACCCATTTGGAAGCATGCCGGCCGGTGACATTAGGGGCATTGGCAGCCAGGCATACGAAGCTGTGGTGGAACTCTGACAACCCCTCCCCACCCCTCTGCCCACCCCTGGGCAGCACCAGGCTGCTTTCCGCCTCTGGGGACGGTCTGTTCCTTCTCTCCGCTCCCCCAGCAGGGCCTGCGACACAGGAGGTGCTCAGCCACCCCATCCACAGGAGCGTGGCAGGCGCCACGTCTGCCCAGATCTGTGCACCCTCCCGGGTACTTTAGACCTCCCGGGTGACTTGGTGCCGTGTGCCTTGTCCCGCTGTCCTGTTTAAGGAAGGGTGACAAGACAAGCGGCCTCTCTCTGTCCCGCAGGCCTGCTGCTCCTGGTCAGCCTGGAGGTGTTCCGCCACGCGGTGCGGGCGCTGCTGCAGGGGGCCGCCCCCGAGCCCGGCCCGGCCCCGCGCCTGGCCTACGAGTACTCCTGGTCCCTGGGCTGCGGCGTGGCGGCCGGCCTGGTCCTGCTGCTGGGCGGGGGCTGCTTCCTGCTGCTCTCCCTGCCTTCCTGGACCTGGGGGTCGCTGTGCCCCAAGCGAGGACCCCCGGCCACCTAGCGCCTCCGGCGTGCCTCCCAGGCCTGCGCGGCCCCTTCCTCCAGCGGCCCCAGAAGACCTGCCGGTCCCCTGGAGGACTGGCCCTCCCGGGGCCCCTGCACCTGCTCCCACCAGCACCTTGTCCTCTGGGAACACGCTCTTCTCGGTGGCCGACGTGGTGTCATGGAGTGGGACAGGAAGAGGCTTTCTGCACCTGAGGGTTCCCTGGGGGGGGCTGGTGGACCTGATGGGGAGACTGAGGCTGGGGTGGGTGTGGGGGTCTCGGAGGGGGTCGGGCCTTCCTTTTCCAGGCCTGGACTGGTTCCCCTGCGGAGAGACTCCTGAATCTGCAGCTCGGGTGGGATGAACTCACTGTGACCTAACTGTGACCTGATTTGAGATTAAAGATTTGGAGATGTAACGGCTTTGATTTGGAGTGAGTCTGTGACGCGGCCGTGCTTTCTGGGGCAGGGCGGAGCGGCCTGTGTCCTCCCCAGAAACCCGCCATCACACCTGTCAGCCCTGGAGTCCCGCGGGACGTGGAGACAGGAGTGACGTGGGTGACGGTCGACTCGTGTCCCCACCAAAGGCCACGTGCTGGGGGCCCGACCCACAGTGCCCCAGAGTACAGCCTTGTGGGGAGAGAGGGTCAGCGGGGACCAGGTGACGGGTGGGGGAATCCAGAAGGACTGGTGTCCTTGTGAAAGGCGGATGATGTGGACACAGACGCACAGAGGGACAGGCACCTGAGGGTGCAGCGGAGGAGGAGGCCCGACCACCCTCCCTCCTGGCCTCGCGGGGTCCAGGGGTGGGGGACAGGGGCTGAAAGACGTGGAGGTGGCTCTGGAATTGGGTGCTGAGCACAGGCTGGGCCAGCTGTGGGGTCGTGAAAGAAGCAGCCCGGGGTCCCCGGGAAGCCTGGGGAGACTGTGGTGTCATAACAGGGGCATTCTGAGGAGGGCTTGGGAGGACAAAGGAGCAGGACAAAGGAGTGGGTGCCACGGACCGCCCACCCCACTACTCACAGCGGGCGTGAGTGGGCACTGTGGTCAGGGCCAGCTTCTTCCCTTAGGAGACCCCCATGCACCTTGCACCTCCTGTGTTCTGGGCGCTGGGCTGAGCGTCTCATGAGCATCATCTTGGCAACAGGCACAGTGCTGCTGAGCTGCCGTCCGTGGGCTCGTTGGACTGCTGTAAGCACAGTGGATCAGAGCAGTTAAGCAACTTTCTTCAAGTCACACAGATACTGAGTGGAGAAGGTGGGGTTCGAACACGGATCTTCTGCACAACCATCCTCACATGTGCCAGGAAGTGTGAGAGAAGAGGGAGGATCAGCATCCCTGGAAACGAAGACCTCCCACCGCCATCCGTGAGCTTGGAATGGGTCACGTTAGTTACTGCACGTAGCAGTGAGGTGACGTCACACTGGTTCAGATGGCCCATGGCCAAGGTCAGGAAGAACAAGCTCTGAGGAGCTCTTAGACGAGAGGAGACCTGGGAGACAGGCCAGACGCAGACGGTGCAGGGTCCTGGGGCAGAAATAGGCCACCGACAGAAACACTGGCTAAGTCGGAGTCCTCGCGGACCTGACCAACATGGTCACGTGGGGGGTCACTGCAGGGGAGATCAACGCCTGGTGAGGACCTGGAGCCCCTCTGGACTGCCTTTGCTGCTCTCCCGTGTGTCTGAGATGATTCCAAAGGGGAAGTCCCTTCCCACAGACAAACTCCACCAGTGGGCCGGGAGCTGGGTCCTCCTGGGACACCTGTCATCCCTGATGCTCGAGTCCTGCGCTGGACAGCAGGCAGGAAAGTGAGCTGGACCTGCCTCCCAGCGCAGCTCGGCCGGGCCACAGGGCAGCTGGTGAGTGCGGAGGTGGGGGCTCCAGCCGTGAAGCCCAGAGGGGGAAGAACCCCTGGGGAGTGGGGGTTGGCTCAGGCACGGGAGGAGGAGACCCCTAACTTGAGTCTTAGGAAGAGTAAAAGGCAGCGTTGGGCTCCTGGGCTCTGGGCATTCCAGGTAGGAGGGAGACAGACCAGAGATGGCGGGAGACCAGAGGTGGCGGGAGCCTGTGAGTGGGGTCTAGTGGGCAAGAGAGGGGTCTCAGTATGGAGGAGGCGGGGAGACCTACCTGTCCAACTGTGTAACTTGGCCTTTATCTGAGGGCACTAGGGAGCCGTGGCGAGTTGTTGAGCAGAGTCAGGTTGAGGGGTTAAAATGAATTTCTTGTTCTTGAAATGAAAAAGTCATAGACACAGAAGAGATTGGTGGTTTCCAGGGGTTAGGAAAGATTGGGGGTGTCACAAAGGAAGGCACTAGGAAGGATCCCTCACGACAGAGATGACCCAGCCCTCCAAATAGAGAAATCCCGTGGGTATGTTTTTTTCTGAATTAAACCTTTAATTTCTGTGGGTTTTTTGTCCGGCTTTATTGAGGCGTAATTGTTCACAGTGTAAATATCTAAGATGTATAACATGGTGTTTGTCATATGTGTGCCCTGAATGTCGACCCGGTTGGGCTGACCCACAGGCTGCTGTGCTGAGCCTGAGAACTCGTAAGATCCCTTGCTCTGCTACCATCCATCACCCTCTGAGACCTCCCGGAGTGTGCCCAGCAATGTCTCGGTAGTCAGTCAGGACTACACTGCAGGTGACCTCACTCTGCCATGAGCTCTGTCCGTAAGACGTTGAGACATGGAATAGCTGAGTCCCACCATGGATTCAACACACCTCACCAGGGATGTCACCACCCAGCCACACACATGCTGCTGAGATGGCGGTTTCCCTGTGTGACCCCGGACCTGCCACCAGGTGTCCACCAGGTGCCCAACCCCGGGAAAGACCAGCTTCAAAATTCAAAGTGTGGTTTCTTCTGAATACATAATGCTTTTGCACCATTTTAATCCTCAAAAGCATGAGCCCGGCAGGTTCATACAGGTACTGTGTGTGGGATGTAATATGTTCTGTAATGTGTTTCGCATGTATCCTGCTAATATCCTATGGGAAATGTGGCGTTTATGTCCTATAACATGACAGCAGGGGTAGTGTCATGATAGGTTGCCCCAGGGTTGAAAGGGTCTTCCTCACCGAGAACGTGGCTCTGCCGTCCAGGCAACGTGGGCGGCTGGACCGACGTCTCAGGAGCACTGCGGGGCAGCGCTCCCCTGGCTCCTGGTGTGCCCAGCGCAGTGCTGAGGGTGCAGAGGGCAGAGAGCCGGGCGTGGGCCCCTCCTGGACCCAGCAGGCAGAGGCCGTGTCCTCCTCGGTGCAGCGCCTGGACCCAGAGGGGCAGGCTCAGCCCGAGCGACCCCCCGGCCTCTGGATGTCTCCATTTCTCCATCCTCCCAGGCTGCACGGACCTCCCAGGGTCACTGTGAGGAGCAAATGCGATAATAATCCCCACAGAGCGGCGCGGGGCCTCCTGGCACCGGGTCGTGGGACTTGTATGGAGTGGCACTCCAGGCCTGGCGTACAGTAGAGGGCAAAGCAGGACCCCTGTGGAGCCTACGGCGTGTGGTTGGAAACAGATATTAATCACATCTCGGCACTAATGAGTGTGTAATTATAAACTGAGATAAGTGCCGGGGAGAGATCCGCAGCAGCTGCCCTTCCTCTCCGACCCGGTGCCCAGCTAAGGGAAGCCCGAGCCGTCTTGCCCCGGGGTGGGGTCCTCACTCTGGCCTTCCTTCCCACCTGGGCTCAGGGAGGGAAGCGGCAGGCCTGAGATGGGAGGGAGAGTCTGGCAGTGTCCCTTGCTGACCACGGCCCCCTGCGGCTAGGCTGCTTTGCGTCACTGTCACAGAATACTCAAGAAGTCAACTTAAAAGGAGGGAAGGTTTCTTTTGGCTCTCAGCTTCAGGCTGAGGTCACTTGGCCCTGCCTGTTCTTCCAGGGCAAGTCCTGATGACCAGCTTCTCCCACTGGTCCCACCCCCTGACGGAGCCAGCACCTCCCAACAGCACCATGACCCTTGGCCCTCAGGACGCCCCTGGTCCAGGCCATCGCCCGTGTGGGTGGGGACGGCCGTGCGTGCACCCCTTTCTGTCTGTCTCTGGGGTGTCCTGGTGTGCTGCTGAGGTTTCTGGGCACGCGCTTCTCAGTGGCCTCGAGCTGTGCCTGCTTGGTGCGTCTCTGCAGCTTCTTTGTATCCGTGTGTGTGTGTGTGTGTGTGCATTTCTTCCCCGGGTTTCGTCCCGACTGTGCGCATGGGCTTGTGTGTTGGAGGGTGCTGTGCTGAGACTCTTCGTGTGTCCTCTGATGTGTGTCTGTGCTGTGCGACCCTGTGTGTGTGTGTGTGTGTGTGTGCTCGCTAAGTGATTTGCAGCATGTCTGTCTGCAGGTTTCTACTTGTCCATCTCTACCTGGCCCAGGCTTCTTCACAGAGGGGGATGGGAGAGAGGAGGAGCTTCCCTCTTACCACGGCCTTGGCAAACCCAGAAAGGGGAAGCCACGGGCCTCGTGGGCAGGAAACAAGAGGAACTGGCCCTGGGCACATCCCTTCCTAGCTCTGTGACTTTAGACAATTTGCTTCACCTCTCTGTCTCCGTTTCAGCTGTTACACGGGGTAGTAATGTTACTATTTAGTGGCATTGCTGGGAGTGAGCTAATCCAGGTAAAGTTTCCAGCAGGCCTCTGGCACAACACCTGGGCCACGCATGCTGGCTCTTTGTGATGTGACGATGGTTGTCATGGTTTGGGTGTGAGGTGTCCCCCAAAGCTCCTGCCAGTGCAGGGATGTTTGGAGGTGACATGGTTGGCCTGTGAGAGCTGTCCCTCCATCAGTCCATCTTAGTTTGAACGGACTGACTGGGTGGCCACTGTGGGCAGGGGGGTGTGGCCGGAGGAGCTGGGTCACTGCCTTGGAAGGACTGGTCTTCCGGTGGCCCTGTCCCAGCCCTGCTTCCTGACTCCCCATGACGGACGGCTGTCCTCCACGAGGCCTTCCCTCAAACGCAGCCTCAGAGCAGGGGAGCGGCTGCCATGGAACGGACTCTGAACCCCTGAGCCCCGGGAACTTTTGCT